GATCCTGCGACTTTCTTTCTTTTTGCGTAAATAATTTCAAAACCGAAATAAAATTACGAAATTATGAAAAAATTACAATTCTTTGGAACAGCGGTCGAATTTCCATTACGTAATATTTTTGGATGCATATTTAGGGAATTTTGGATTCTAGATTATGGGTAGGGTGGGGTAGGTTGGTTATTTTGGGATGCATATTTAGGGGATTTTGGGTTCTAGACTATGGGTAGGTAGGGTAGAGTGGTTAGTTTTGGATGCATATTTAGGGGAATTTGGATTCTAGATTATGGGTAGGGTGGGGTAGGTTGGTTATTTTTGGATGCATATTTAGGGGAATTTGGACCTAGATTATGGGTAGGTGGGGTAGGGTGGTTAAAGTCTTACATAGATTTCTACAGTTATATTATATTTATTTATATATATGTAATATATAGATTTTAGTTTAGGATTTGCACGTGCTAACGATTTTTTATTATAAGCTCTTTTGTGTCTACGTGGATTAATTAAAAGTACTCAATCACAAACACTTTCGAAAATGCTGTCGAAAAAAATCCTGTCGAAACAGCTCGCAAAGACAGCTGRTGTAGTCGTTGCGCAATTTTTCCATTGTTCAACACTGACGACGGGACCCGATGCATTTTAAGACTTGTCTACCACAGGTGGTCCAGTAATTATCAAGGACAGGAAGTTAAATGAACTGTTTAGTTATAGTATTAGTTTCGCGAGGTCATAAACCAATACGAGTAACGCAAGGATTATACGTTTTCCAGCGTGATATCAGTAAAAAGTACAGCTTAGTTGAATACGTCACGATGTCAGTCGAAGATGTGTTTAACTTCATGCATTATGAAGAAGGAAAAATAGCGCAATAATACATGTCATTTTGGTCAGCCTGTTGATCAGTCGGTTGGTCGGTAGGTAGGGAGGTAGGGTGGTAGGGTGGTAGGGAGGTAGGGAGGCAGAAGGATGGATAGGTAGGTAGGTAGGTAGGTAGGTAGGTAGGTAGGTAGATAGGAGGTATGTGGGTGGGTGTGGGTGTGGGGTAGGTAGGTAGGAGATTTACCAGTTTTGTCTGAAGATAGGCGGGTTAGTGAGTGGGTGGGGTTAGGTAGGTAGGTAGGAGGTAGGCGGCCGGTTGGTGGGTGGGTGGGGGTAGGTAGGTAGGTAGGTAGGAGATAGACGGGTTGGTGGGTAGTTGGGTGTAGGTAGGGAGGTAGGGCAGAGGTAGATGGGTAGGTGAGTTGATGGGGGTTAGGCACGTAGGTAGGTAGGCATATAGGTAGGACCAGGTAGGTAGGAATGAGCACATAAGTAGGACCAGGTAGGTAGGTATGAGCATATTCAGTTAGGAAAACTGATTAGCATTATTCAACCAACCAGTGCTTGCGTCGATTACTCTATCAAAACAATTATTAAAAGATCAAAATAGTTAACAACACTCTAATCAATGGCATTAACACATCTTATATTATATTCAAACGTTTAGAACGTCAAMTCTATGACTTGATCCCGAAGTTCTTCTCAATATCACTTTGCGGRACTCCACTTGAACGTGACCGCAATCACTTCGCTCAGCGGAGATCCTGGCAGTACATGAGCGAGTCGATGATGAAGAGGAAGGCAGAGATGAATCCAGCGGCCTAGAATAATAGTAAGATCATTAATAAATCATCAAAGTATTAATGAATAAATCACAATATTAATCTTTTTTTTTTTGTTCTATTAATGTTCCATTCAAATAAATTATTTTGAGAAATAGAACTTGTTTCTTTAATCCTAACAAATGTCAAGTTCATGATAGTTTTGATTCATCAGCTTTTTAATTATAAATCAAGCCAAGCTTTCGAGCATCTTGCTCTTCATCAGGGCAAACGGTTGTGACAGTTTTACAAGAAACACGCAACATAACAATGTGCGCGTGCTATAGTTAGATGTATCAGTTGCTAGGAGCGCGCGTGTTACGAAGGGAGAATTAATTGCGCGCGCTATTTTTTTTTGTCTATTAGGATGCGCTATATGATCTTAATTGCCTATCAAGCTACGATAGCTATCAGGCAATGTTCTTCCACTGTCTCTATTAAAGAGAGCATGTGATTCATTGGCAATCTTCCATGCCTCCAGCCATTTCCTCCGGTGCCATCGTTCTTCTTTATAAACTACAAAATGTCAAGTTTCTTTAATCCATTCAAATTTGTTAATATTCGTGTAGGAAATGGAATGGGTTCGAATCCAGTTTGAAAAAAAGATCACGAGTGTAGTTTTGCACGAGAACCTATTTGATATTCACATTAAAAATATGACCAAAACTTTTTGACCAA